GAGTGAGATCAATATTTCTACAGTTAAGACACCACCTCTGCGTTTTCCTAAACATCATAAACAAACTAGTAGAGCAATCACATCTTCAGCTTCATCAATGGCATCACCATTGACAAAAGCTGAAATCGAACGAATAGTTTCTTCGGCTTTTGATGATGCTTTTAAATTACTAGGTAAACTTGATGTACATAATTCCTTGAAGAAAAAAAAGATTCATACGTTTTGGAATCTGAATAATTTTGTTTTAAATAAAATGAATGCGATATCGAAAACAGTTGATTGGTCTAGTCTCACAGAGGTATCATCCGATTCTGAATCTGACGATGAATTAACTTCTGACAATTCAGTGGATCTAGAACACGTAGGAAGAGATAGTGACGAGGAGTCAGATATTTATAGTGTCGATGGTATAAATGAAAATTCTTTGCATGGCGTGCGATAGTGGATGTAGAATACTCAAGTAATAATTGGATTCAAAATAAGATACATGGTGAGAAACAATAATGATTTTCAACCTTTCAGATCATTTAAGTCAAAAAAGTCACTTAAAGTCATTTAAGTCATTTTAAGTCATTTAAGTCATTTAAGTCATTTAAGTCATAAAGTCAGTTGTTTCCCCCTTGGCGCCAATACAATTTATGAGATTATTACTGAATCGATGTAATCGATCATCTCTCGTGTTATTATCTTATTAGTGTTTAGTTAAAAACAATTTTTCCTTTTTGTTTCAGAAAGCAACCGTCACGTACAATAATTGATGTAGTCGATCATAATTCAGAGGATAATGATACATCATCAGATTTTGATGATCTTGATATACATGAAGAATTAGAAGATGATGAAAATAATTTAACATTTGGCAATGCAGCTGATAATGATGAAGAATTAATCAATGCTGTTGATGACGATAATGAAGATAATGTTAGTTATGTCGATGAAAATGATAATTCAGATGGCAATGAAGAAAATGATGATTATCAATCAATTGATCTTCAAGATATTCGTGCTTCAATTCGAAAATTAATTGATCGAATGCGTGCTTTTATTAACAACATTAATTCTACACATGCTGTTACCGATTATGTACAACAGCGAGAAAAAATCCATGATCCACCAATTATAGCTGCACTTATAACAGATATCGAAATTCGTTAGAATACAACCTTCATCATGGTGAATCGGTTTATCACACATCAAGCAATTATAGGCGATATCAACAGCAGACCGTTCAAGGTACAAAACATTAGTTCCGTTCAACAGCTAAAACTTGGCAACAAGAAATTTGAATTTACTAATGATGACTGGTGTACAATAAAAGAAATCCAAACTGTACTTAAACCATTTTTCGGTGCGACGACTGTTGTCTCAGCAAAAAATTATCCAACATTAGCATTAGCTTGCTCAAGTAAGTAACAAGCTTGAATATCAATGAGAAAGCACAGGATAAACTGCAAGTGATTTTACCGAAAAAGTTAAATATCTTAGTACATAACGATTAGATCAACGAAGCTGATTTTTTTACAATTATAGAAACGTGAGCGAAACGTATATCTGTACAAAAACCCCTAAGAAACACTTTTCTCAGTACAACTATAGATCACAACAAAGAGATTCTACCATTTCATAAAGAGGAAAGATGTAGTCTAGAGAGTGAGAAACATATTAGTTCAACGAAAAAAATTGAATATGTTCTTTATAACTCGAGCAAATGAGTTGATTCTTACATTAATGCTAGAGAAGCATTCGAGGTTTAAATCCATGAAAGAATATCGAGAGATATCACCTATAAAGCATATTGTATTTTTCCTATCTGTGCTATAGTGATATTTCGTTGTTGTGATTTATAGTCATAATACAAAAAAAGATTTTTCTAGGCATATGTTTATGAATATAATCTTTGAACATGTCTGTATCGCTAATAAAATATCCAGCTCATTCGTCTCGGTCGTCAAGATGATATTTGAATTTTTCGGTGAACTTCCTTTTGATCCACTGTGTACTTCATCGAAGAAAATCAACTATTGAAGTTTGTAAGATGTTTCTAATGACTTCTTTCGTATTTTAGTACCATACGCTTTACGTTTCTTTCTGACAAAACCAGAAAAAAACGAATCGACTGTACTCAAGTTCATCAAAAGATGTGTACTGGAAAAGTTGGATCTATATTTCGAAGAAAAAATGGAACCACATCAAAAAAATCTCATGCTTGTAAGTTAGAATAAAGCTATTTTTTTTATCTATATCCACACTGAGAACCACACACTACTGAGTCATGAAAATTGAAACCTGTAGCCACTACCGTTACGTTTAGAAACGCTTTTCATCTTCAATATCTTCCACAAATTAAGTTTGACTAATGTAAAAAATTGATTAATATTTCATAAAGAGGATGATCGTAGAATCGATTTTCATAGAAAATAATTGAGATTTGTTAAATTACTTTTGCCACTTTAACAGAATTTAATTTCTCAAAAACGGCAATATTGAATAATTCAATAAAACTTGCTGATTAAATAGAGAAACATAATGTGTTTTCATCAGATTTATAAACTTTCTGTAGAATTTTTTTAAAATAAAATTGAGGTGAGAACAGCATATTTCACAATTTCTGCAAATACTTGAAACCCGAGAATATTATTCGATATAGACTAGTATGTTTCTTTTCAATGTTTCATGAACATTTTCTATTTAAATGTATATGTCTTGGTAAATATCCCTGTGTTCATATTCTGAAACGGATGCATTCTTGAAAATCAATCAAAACAGTTGTCTAAGCTTTACAAAGGCTATTATAATTCCTTTTCAAAAATGTTCTGACTTTCATAGATAGTTGCTTTCGTTTTTCTTATTCAATCAAGAAAAATTAGGTGAAATATTTCTGATATAATAGTATAAAAAAACATTATTTTATTAAACTTACCAGATTCGACCATAATATGTATTACTACCTCATTTCTCTCGCGCGTATAGAGAAAAACTTCCCTTACAGGATTAAAATTATGATCGAAATCATCAAGACGACATAATTATTGACTAAGATTAGAACTGT